GAAACCGCCGCGGACAATGCCCGGGGGCAATCAAACCATCTAACTCTCGAAGTAGTGTAGACGATCGACACAGCTTTGATCTTGCGTTGATTTCTCTTTGTTAAAATAAATTCTGATGGTTCTGCGATATTTGAATATTTTACGCAAGCTGAGCCCGTGTATTCGCTCGACGGTCTTTTTCGATTGACCTGCCACGTCCCGCCGTATCAGCAACATGGGTGTCCATCACCTTTTGACTGGTTCTTACACCAACACAAGCCTATATCTTCTTGCTTTCGACACTGTTGCCAAAACATTGACACTCAACTCTACAGTTCCTGGTTTTGGTATACATCAATACATCACATCCAATGCAGCCCGGGATGTGATATATGCTACAACAATGAGCGAGCCGCCCAGAATATTCTCGTGGTCAAGAACGGTCAACAATGAAATTACTCACATCAATACCGCCAACGTCAGTAAGTTTTGACTACACGAGATGGCTCTTTTCCAAATGAAGCTAAACTAAATAGCTACATCTTCGTGCTACATTTCCGATAATGGAAACTTTACCTTCTCTGCTGGTGGCTCCGGCGCCAGAGTCAACGCGCTTGATGAAGATGGTGGCATTGGACAAGTGGTCAGCGAAATGTTCTATGTTCCTCAACAAGAAATCCCACGGGTTGACAAAACCCGTAGTGCTGTCGTGAGTAATACTGTCTAACTCAAGCAAACTAATGTTGGTTGACATGGAAAAACAAGCTTTATGGCGGACATGGATTCGATGTCAATGTCAATGGCAAGGGCTTTGTACCGCATCTGTAAGTCACAAGCCCTACACTTCCCAATCTACCTTTACTGACATGGTCAAGTGCCTGGGATGCGATCTTCATGTATGACATCCTGAGCAATGGAACAGCCAAACTCCTTTCAATCAACCTGAGCCCGAAGGTCGGCGACGGCCCACGAAATGTGTACCCGAGCAGCGATGGAAAGTGGTTATATGTAGTAAGTGAGCCGAAAGCACAAAGTGTAGTGTCTTAGACTAATGAGGCAAAAGATCAACGAGCACTGTGAGTATCTTATCTAATCACCGTAGAATGATTTGCGCGTCCAAACTAACTTGCGCCTCGCAGCCCAATACCTTGATATTTATAAGGTTGGAGAAACTAACCTGAAGCACATTCAACGTGCAAGCGCCATACCTGAAAGTACGTCATACACTCTAGTTATATCGCGATGTTGCATACTAATACGGGATACTTTAGAAGTCCGAGGCAAGTACACATACCGCAGCAACGCAGTCCGCCTTTCCCGCAACGGCAAAACCATCTTCACCAGCACGCGCGGATGGAACAACACCGCCGCCAAAGGCTGGGTTGCAGCTTTTGCGCTCGACGATAACGGCAAGCTCGCGTCAACCGATGCCTTGACATACTATGAGGCGCCACTTACACTCGGTTCTGCTGCGGGGCTTCGCGTAGCCTTTTGGGAGGACGAAACGAATGCCGACCCAACCGGCCTTACTGACTACATGTATTTGTCCGATACACAAGATGGTTACATGTATATCCTTGGATGGTCGCCTCGTACCCGCAATTTGACACAGGTAGCTGCTTTGCACTATCCTGATAATGCAGCGCCTTATGAGGCTGTGTGGCTTGACTAGAAGTGGTAAAAGCAGTAGTTAAGTTTTACTATAGTATGGTATTTTATGGCTTAGTTATACCAATGACATAGGGTGTAGAACAAGAGCCTATAATCGATTGTTTAGATAACAAGCTCTGGGTATACTGAACTTTTCTAAGATATTGTGCTTGCTTGTAAGAATAGAGTAGAAGCATGAAGAACCATCTTAGAATTGAATAGGCCTATCTATTGCTGGAATTCTAGATCTCAACCCCCTTTCATGTAAAACTGATGGCATCCTTCCCATGTCTTGCTCATGAACAGTTGTCCATATCAGCGTTCGCGTAATCTTCATTGTCTATGAAGTCGATGTGTTGTAGAGCACCTTTGAGCCGGATAACATCTCGCCCACAATCGATGTATATCGCCGCGCACAAGGCCATCATGGACTGTGTTACCATCTTGATTGATGGTGGTGTTCCTTGCTGACTCAGGTTTGTACTGATACATTCGCTGAGATTTATCCGATTTGCGCATGTCAAAGCTCTTTGCGTAACACTTTGCGAATCAAAGCTAACTTTCGCTAACGGAAAATCAGATCTTGACGGTGCCACACTTGGACTTCCTACCTCGCTGATGCCCTTTGGTGTACCCTTCATCAGCAATAACCAGATGGATGACGCTTTCTCCAAGCTGGCTTAGCCGTCTATATCCATCTGGATCTTGGAAATTGTTCGGCGTATTGCACCCAGCGCCTGGTGCTCGAAGCGCCTCGACGAGAAGTCTTATGTTCGCGAAATGATAGTCCAAATCATTTTGAAGGGAAGTTATATATTCCGGGGTCCCAGCTGCCATGCTGTTTAAGACTACTCACTACAGAAAACTACAGTAACGAAGTGATAAGTAAAATGAGTGAGACAAGTTGACAAAGACTGAGGCGAAAAAGAATGTGGCATGAGTTCGTAGTGCTTTTGCTTCTCATGGGGTTGCTTTTTCTGCACTCACACGTCAGACACATTGCTTTTCTTTTCATGCAATTTTTCCCCTCACTTTTATATCCATTACACATGAAACGGGTCTGAGTGACGCTATTCTTAACTCCTAATCGTGCTTGTCACTCGAATTGATGATGGTGCGCTTATCGCATGCAGATTAACGAGTGCATGCTTATCTCCCCACAGATCAGCGAATACATGTGTATCTCATTCCTTCTGTCAATTAATGCCTGCTTATCTCTCCTCCAGATTAGCGATTACGCGCGATCGGTGAGCGAGCTCTTATCCGTATCTCCACATGAATTCTGCGTTCAACTACGAGGATTGTCTATACTCTACAACGGGCTCGATGAGATTGTGATCCAGAGTGCTTTCGAGTTATCTGTATAGTTCTCCGTATTCTCTATAGGGACAGCCTCATCTAAGAGATGTCCCAAAATATAAAATCTAAACGCATTCAATTCATGCTCAATGGATGTATCACTACTGCAATGGAGAATCTTCACTTAAATGTCTTAATGGCCGCACCTGTGCGGAAGCGTCATGCTCTTCTATTGGCTGACAACAATAGTGAGAATTCAACCACTACTGATTACTTGACCAACTCTCCACTATTTACAACTCAAGCTCTAGCCCGAGATGTGCCAGCCACACCGCAGATGAGACCATCCCAGTGTGGACTGTTGGCAGATCTGTCCTTGGAACGTCATGATAGTTTAGACACAGCATCTCTCTGCCAAGAAGATGCGGACAGACGACTATTCTTCAACGTCACAACTCCTTCAAGCATCTTCATTTGCGGCTCGCAGGGTTCAGGAAAGAGCCATACGTTGTCTTGTTTGCTGGAGAACTGTTTGGCAGACTCGGATGCGGCAATACTACCAAGGCCTCTTTCAGCATTATTGTTTCATTACGACACCTTCATATCTGATGATGGCGGATCACCTTGCGAGGCAGCATACCTAGCGTCGTTATCTGGAGTTCAGGTGAGGGTTGTGTGTGCTCCAACCAACATACGCACGATCCAGGTCAGTCCAGTTCTGTACCTACTACAGGGTCATAACATTAACAGAAGTGAAAGAAAACGTATCGGCACCTGAGTGTCAATGTAGAACCACTCCAAATCGATAGCTGTGATCTCAACACAAAACGCATCTTGGATCTTATGGCCGTCAAACCAGAGGAAGGGAGTATTCCTCTCTATGTCCACACAGTCAGTCGCATACTGAGAGAAATGCGTATGTCTCAACAAGCGACTGGCGCATCATTCGACTATCAGACATTCAAAACAGCGATTTTGGCGGCGGACCTTTCACCAGCTCAACTTGCACCTCTTAACCAGCGCCTCGCGATGCTTGAGAGCTTCATGCCACCTGTGGGAGACATGAGAAAGGGGGGAAATCAGAAAAGCCACAAAGGTACAATGTGGACAAATCAGGTAAGAGAGCCATGCATCGTATTATATAATAGAATTGACGAAGACATAGCCTGGCTTACTGACAATAGTCGATCTCTCCTGCCCTTGTGTTTCGCCAGAGACTGCTTGCTCGTTGTTCAACATATGCTTAAGTTTGTTTCTTGAACAGGAAATAGTCTGCGGTCGTGTTGTTGCTCTTGATGAGGCTCACAAGGTCAGTACGAAAGCTACAGGGAGCTTCATGACTCAGGAAACTGACCATGATACAGTACATGACCAGCTCTCCAGAATCCTCGGTACTCACAAATTCACTCTTATCGACCGTGAGGCTTCAAAGACATCTTGGAGTACGGATATTTGTATCTACTCAAGAGCCGACGATAGCACCAGCCTTTTTGGACCTTTGTACCGTGACTATCATACATCGGTTTTCCTCGCCTGCTTGGCTGCATGCCCTCGATGCTCACATTGCACTCATGCAACGACACGAATCTGATTGGACCGCTCAGCGCGACAACCATTCCAGTAGTCGGAAAGAAACCGCGAGAGAAATCTTCAAAAAGATCATCCAGCTCAAACCTGGAGAAGCACTCGTGTTTGCGCCTAGCGCGATGACGGCCATAGGTAATCTGGATGGTTCCTCCGTGGATGGCTCGACGAAATTTTACATACAGGTTAGGATCAGATCGAGGCTATCAGATGACGGCGGACGTAGCGTACTTGCCGGTTAATTACGGGTGGTCATATCCTTAGCTCATACGTCACGAGTGATAGATGGGTGCCAACGATCACTTTATTGCTTTCATCACGTGTAAAGACGTCAAGAAGTATCACCATGATCTATGAAGGGTCTCCGCAACGTATTTCACAGAATCAGAATACTTTATTCCATCGATGCAACGTTTGTGTAGTTGTAGCATTCGTGAGCACCATCCGTATCTAAGTCGGATCTGATTTCCCCGCAATCGCTAACTTGTCTAGCAGCACAGCCAGCCCGCTACAAAAAGCTATTAGTCTAACTAGATACGTAGGAAAGCTACAGAGGATCCTCTGTTCTCCACTTACATTCTGGTGCATCGGCAGGGCAGCAAGTCTTGCGATCACAATCTGGGGGCGGAATATTAATAGGTGAAGGAGCACCTAGGCATACGTCTATCAAGGCTAGACCAGTAGCTCCGATGGCGAATGTGTTGAAAGAAGCATTTGTGGCACCAATGGAAACCGCAAAGGTGGCGAGCACGCGGGAGAGCTGCATTTTAGTTGTAGCAGATTGGAGTTGCTTTGGGAAACTTCTGGTTGAAATGGATGAAGTGTGGAATAAGAGAAAGTGTAAAATGGAGCGGCCTACGTTATTGTATCTTGTTCTCATATGTCCTCAGTATGCTCTGATCTAGAGGCCTTGCCGTTCACCGCAACATTCGATCACCGGCGCCTCGTCGGCTCCGAGTCGCATGTATATAATCTCCGCATACGATCGTGATAAACTGATACTACAGGGGTTATGTCATACGCCACTACTCTTTGAATATGTACCACAATGACTTATGTGCGTGGGGAAATGCCTGGATATTATTACTGGCTTGCAACAAGGTGACACTTCTGGTTTAAGCCCTGACCGGATAGCCGACCAACCTTTGGTTCGTCAAAGTGTATTGTTGCAGTCTGTGCAAGTTGTCGCAACTTATGCACGGATGCAACGGCAGCCAAGTTACAACAAAATTTTAAGGCCGTCTCCTTGGATAGTGTTGAATGTGGTTTTCGCGGGTAAGTATCAGCATACAGAGTGCGGTAGCAAGGAGTAGATGACTACCAATTCAAAGATTGAACATAAGACTGTATGAAACCATCAGAAGCTTTGACTGACTATCGATTAGAAAGATAATGTCGCAGCCACGACAAAGATGCGGGCTATCACGTATCTAATACAAATCATGTCAGCACCAGGAATAACTAGCAAATACATTGCTCTCAGCAACATGCTACAGCATGTTGCAGGTACTAGTAAGGACAAAATTCCTTAATGTCCATCCAAGCGTGCTAGGGCGCACGTTGTGACACGAAACTTTCCCCTCTAAACCTTGCGCATTGTACAAACCACAGTGCGCGCTAATTAGTCGTACAAATCCCAGATGCGTAGTCGCTATCAGAGTCGTTCAAAAAGATTGTCAGCGACTAAGTCGGACATTACTATTTCCGTACAGGGTAAAATTTTTGTGCAGTGGAGAGGCTAAAATGATGACCAGGCTCTTCTTCGGATCACTGTTCGTAATAATCACGACTCTATGTAGTATAGCTCCTACTTCTACTGTGCTCAGAGTGTTATCGTTAGGCTATACCGTAATTGTGTTGAGCACTGACTCAGCTGATATGCGTCACAGAGGGACAGACGTGAGCAGTGGAGTAACACTGATCAGAAAGAAAACTCTAACTAGTCGTGGTCAGGAGGATGGCCGATACAAAGACAGTGGCGTTGTGTCGCTTCTCGGTAGTTATGCAGAGTGAAGTCATCCACCAATCAGAACACGGACAGCACATTTAGATCGGTCAAAATTCACCGACCTACTCCGCCGCTATTAAACGGACACCATGTAAGGTGTCGTAGTCAATTACGAAGTGGCAACACTTGCCTCATATCTACGCAGAATCGCCTTGTAGTCAATATACCATTCCTCCAGCCATCCCGTCGCATCAATCATGCGGGTTGTGAAGCAGCTCAGCGTCGGATCAAGAACCTTCATGGGCGCCACTAGGTTCCGCAGTTTAAGGCCGCATTCTTCGATACGGAAACAGTCCTTCGGCAAGCATTGGCCATATGTGTTTTCTGGATCGTTGGCGGCTACCAGGGTAGTGACGAGCACAAACAGAGCATGCAAGACGGCCGGCGCAAAGCAAAATGAAGGCAGGCCGATAACCATGGCAGGGTCCATTTCCACTGCCGTTTCTATTACGCCATGGCAGTTTTGCACAAGAGTTTGCAGCGCTTCCCGGAGCGGATGGATGATCATGGCAGGCTTCGGAAAGTCCTTGACTGGAATACGTCCGGGGATAAACGGGGACGCAAAGGATGCCTTGTTGGTGGGAGTGTGAAGCACAAGCTCATACAGGTGTATCATGGACACGTGCCAGTATACTCTGAGTATCTTGGAATGTGCTAGACTTGGTGGAATCTGAGCCACCCATACGTCGAGTTTAAGCTTGAGCGCATCAATGACTGCATAGACGTTGTAGTCGTTTCCATCCACAAAGGTAGATATCTGGCAGAGGCACAAGTGATTGGAGATTTCCTGGTCCAGCTGAGTGATACGGGCAATCTGACAAAACAGTAAGTCAGATGCATCGCCGTTGCTCTCCAGGTACCCGACACATTCATCCAAGTAAGCATCCCAAGGAACAGGACTAGGTCGACGGGTGCTCATGGACGAAGTTGAGGTTGCAATGTAGCATGCTATCCAGGTACGACGTGCCTCGAGTGATGTCGTGTCCTGGAGTCTGCAAAAGAATGCCGGAGGCGTCGGCTGCAGTGAGCCTCCAGCAATTCCGAGATCAATAGCCATGTCAGTGGCTAGTTGGAGGATCTGATAACAGCTTCCTTGTTGGCCATTGCGCGTGCTCTTGGTGTAGAAAGCAGGTAGCAGCAGAGCTTGGACGAGCTCAAGAGACCGCTGCCCTCGGGCAATCACCTCATCGCCAAGTATGCGCATGGCTTCTTGAACTAGCTCATCATGAAGGTCCGCATCAACACCCTGGGCCTCCTGCGTGATAGTGAAGACTAGCGCAGCCACCAGCAGGACAGGAGATTTTGCTCGGTGGAACTCGAGATTGGTAGTCAGACGGATGGCCGGCCACGCAGTCTCGGCCTGGACTGCATAGTGGTGGAGCAGCTGTTGCTGCTTGTAGAGCGGGATGCGTGCATCCAGGAATGACAAGATGGCGTCGTGGTGGCTTTCGGGGAGGCTTGCGGGCGAACGGCTTAGCGTTGACAGACTACCCGGCGAACAGCTCGGGGGAGTGGAGATGTTTTGATGGGACTGTCTCTGCAGCGCGTTCTGGAGTTCCTGGATCTGGGCTTCGAGCTCACTAATGCGGTCGCGTTGTAGGCGTGGTGCTGCCGGTACACACTCAAGATTGTTGCGATGGCACCGCTCGCAAATGCCTGGTTGTGGGGAGGTGCTCACGTCGCATTTGATTTTGAGACGGTGACATTCTTCACAGGCGCGATAGCGTTTTCGCATGGTGCTACTAAAAGCCCGGGCTATGGTGAGGTTTGACTTCACTTCTTTTGCGGTTCTTAAGTCTATGACAACTTGATTTGATGCAAGCAGTCATTCTGGGAGGCCTAGGGCTGGACTGTGGCTGTGTTGGCCCGTGGCACCCCCGCCCTGGTGAAGCTCGCCACCTCGCATATGTACACGCTAGTCTAACTTTACTCTTCCTACATAGCCCCGAGCTCAATAGACTATCATCGAATAACAGTAACAATAATCTAGAAAACGCATTGAAGAATGCAAAGAGGGACCTGGTCACGATTAGCATGGGACGCCGAGTCACGTGGTTGCAATCATGCCAAGACTGACGTTAGGCGCTAGCAGCACATGAGTGATGGTAGCCATCAGAGACATCAGGCTTAGAACGCAGACGCACTAATGGCAGTGATCAGAGGACCTGAAATGATGGGCATAACGAATGAGCGGATTTCATTGTTAACAATGAAATCCGTCCATCATTTGTACCATTGCTTTCCAGTCCTGTCCTCCCTCGCCCCAGTATCCTCCCAGAGGCCCAGTCTTGAGTGGGATGCGAGTTACATGATCCTCGCTCGTCGTTGATCACCATCTTTCTGACGTGAACCCGAGTGGTTGGGAGACGGCTCGTCTTCGGTCAAGGGTGGGAGACCCTTTTCCTCTTGTTTGTAACACAGAAAGCAGATGGGCAAATTATTCACTTGGTTCAACAGCAGTTAGACGTTGAAATTATACTCTATCTATCTAACTCTTTCCATAATTGAACCTCAACAGTCGATACTCTATTCCATCCGAGTCAGTATTGAAAATCTTGAGAGTTATTGTAATAAGTCTACATACGCAGCAGGCTTGTTTCTTAAAGATATACTGATCAACGTCGCAGAAGGTTGTGCAATAACTCAAATCGGTCCTGTAAATACCGCAGTACCAGAGAATTTGTTCGTTGCCGTACGCCTCACACTTCAACACTATTAGCAAGGATTAGTCTGATATTGGCGCATGTTGTGCCGGTGCACAGTGACACTATTGTAACTTCATATCTTCGTCTCAAGAATTAAGACTTACAATGCCGCATCTAGATTCTGCCTGAATACTAGGGATCCATGCTAGCAAAGCGAAAAACGTAATAGAGGAAGATCTTATCTTTTGCGAATCGTCTGTAATGTTGGAAATACAATTGAGTGTTTACTGTGTAGTGGATGATTATTGAAGGGACGTCTCTTGTTTATATAGTTCTCTTCAGCCTACTGAAGAAAACACTGACGTAGAACATCAGCCCAACTCTGTGTTAAATATGATTGCTAGTGCTACGGAAGGTGACGGAACATGTTTGTATCTTGCGAGCGAATATCAAGAGTTAAACCCCTCTTCTATGGTATTTTTTCATTCCACGAGTTCAGAAGAGGGAAAATCATTGAGCACATGTATCAAGGATGTTCGCCACTCGTGTAAGCAGAGGGGCCCTGCTTAGTGTAGGCTCTAACTAAATATATATTATTTTACGTTAGTAAGGTGAAAGAAAAAGAGAGAGAAAGAAAGCACGCCTCGCCATATCTTCTTTTACCTCTCTTTCCATAACTTTCTCTCTCTCTTGACTCTTTCTTTATCTCTTTTGTGCTCAACTTTTATCTCCTAAAACAAAAGTAAAAAGAGAAGAGCGACGAAAGAAAGAAATAAATGAAAATAACAAGAAGAAGACCTGGAATGCAGTGCTAGATACAATGTTACAGATAGCGTCTCACTAACATGGACCCCTGTCTTTGTGGGGTGATGGATATCTTTTACACGGGTACCTAACAGCCATCGCCCTTCCGCAGCTGTCCCAGCAATCTTACCGCATACGCAACGCTCCGTGTTCCAAAGAAGAATGCTCTAGCAATAGAAAAGCTGATTCACGTTGTGGTGTGACGGAGTGATCAAGGGGCATATAGAGAAAAGGCCCGAAAAGGTATCCAAACATGGATATAATGTAAAGTACGCAGAGAGGGCACAACAACAACAACTATAGATACTACTACTAAACCACAAGTTCGAAAATCATTTAAACTTGGAAGATAGACTTATATCATGCATCGAGCACCTGCGCAGATGAACGTGGAGAATGCCCCCCCCATAACAGCGTCATAGCGTGTGCTACCCGACAAGATGAAGTTTCGTATTCAGTCTAGTCGCTACTTCAGATAAATCATTCAAACTATTTATATATACGAATAGGGCGAACTCTATTCCCAGAATAGGCCGTGTGTTCCTGACCAAAACGGTCCCGATGTTTCGTGGATTTCAGGATTAAGAAAAACACGGGGAATGTGAGATTTTGGTGCATTTTCTTTCTCAGGCTTTGGTGTCCGGTCCTATCTCTCTGATTTGTTTGAACTCCATCGTACGGCGCGAAGCGTGTTATTTATGGGGGGTCGAGCTATGATGTCATGCAATGTGGGATGCACAGGACGGGGATGTGTAGGGATCAGTGTAAGGGATTGTAACTCGGTTGTATCAGAAGGTTAACACTTCTTACTTACGATTTTTTTTCGCTTACTGTGTATACTCCTTGATGAATATTGGTGAAATAGGTTCGACCATCTGAAATATATTCTTAATAGCATACAAGTCTATAACAGAAATTCACAATCTCTTTTCGGAAAATTTCAAAAGAAGAGGCTTTCAACGGCTATCAATTGATATAGTGCAGGAAGGACGTTTGTAGCATAGAAAACAGAGTAATACAGCATTTTGTTACTTCGCAAGGGACCCCCTGCATGTTCCCGTCATAGATAAACGACAAGCAGTATTCTCAACCCTGTAACATCTCATAATATCTCATTCCAGTCTTCAGCCAGCTCGATCAAGCTCAACGCGACGCTCTGCACAATAATCATAATGGCACTGCAACGAACATTTCAAGAGACTTTTCGTAGAGGTAGGCTAGATATTGCTATGTTATCCTAATACAATGAATCTTCCAGAGCAGTCCGCACGTTCGCAGTAGCATACGACATGCTAGAGTTAACTTCATGGCCGTGCCTTCGTGGTGACAATTCAACGTTGTTCTCTACTTTCACATGGTATGCGCCTCTTCATCACCAGTCCATTTAAGTAACAGGCTCTCTACGTCCTCATCTCCATTCTTACCATTCGACTCTTCCGCTGTTGGATAACGGATTCATTGACTGACTAGAGTGTTGAAGGAGCGCGAGTATATAAGTGAAGTATTTGGTGGCTAGGCCCAGCCACCCGGAAACACAACCATCACCAAGACTTCAATTTCAACCTTCAACTTTCAACATCCGCAGACTTAGGATTCGGCTTTCCTTTATGCGTCTTCAATTTGGAGAAGAAACTTGTAGCATCCGATTTTGTGTTACTTTTGATCTACGATTCCTTATTATCCAAAGTATCAACAGGAAGGATTGTTGCTTCAGATGGAGCTTGTGGGAGAGAGTTGTTTCGATGCGGATGCGGAGGTCCAGGCGGAGGTGCGTGCTGAGAGGACTCGGGCATAGGCCACATGTGCATGGTCACATTCCAACCTGGTTGCACTAGGGACTGCCAGACCTGTGGAAGTATGACTTGGCCATCGGGCCCGACAAGATCGTAATGGCCTTCCTGGACATGAGGCCCAATCACATCGACATGGAGGAAGGCTTGCTTGATGAGTTCTTCCATACTCTATAATGGTGGATTAGTTGCGGTGGAACGAGTACATGTATGAGGGGTGTGTTGTGTTAGCTTACCTTCCATGACTTGACTAGATGATATGGAAAAGTGAATTTCCTTCCCACAGCATCTTTGAAGCTGATTGGTTCCTTCGACTCACTTGGAACAGTCTTTTTCTCACTGAAGAGCGTCTCGATGTCAACAGCCCCTTCTCTCCTTTCCGCTGAAGATGTAATCCAAACCAAAGTCACAATCTCGAGCTGACCAAAGACGGTACGTATGCTCTCTTTGTGCCACTCATCTATATGTAGCAGCTTAGCGTCTCTGGAATCAACATGGGCGAGGATGAGATGCCGTTGGTAGCTGTTGAGGGTGTGTAAAGTTTTCAATGGACTACGGTTTTGTGCCTCTTGCTTCTGCAGAAGTGTGCGGATCTCTGTTTCCAGCAAAGTGAGCTCTACGATGCTTAATGAAGCACCAAAGCCGGAGCTTAGGCCAGGAAGTACGGTGAATGTCCACGCTTGTAGAAATCCATGAATATCATTCGCTTTGATACTAGGAGAGCTTGGTTTCGGTTTGTCAACATTGATGGCCTCGCTTTTTGGGGAGGTTACTTCTTCTGGTGGTCCCTGTTGGTGTTGCGTACTCTTGTCTAGTAGACTGTGATCCTCTGCAACAAGCCGTTCTGCCTCTTTTTCACTCCCATCCTCGATATCCTCCTGGGCGTTTTCGAACTTCGGTGTTGCAGATCGGTCAGCATCTGTCTTGATTAAACATTCGCTATTCCCAGATGATACATTGGCCATGGGAGCTTCCGTCAGCAGACTGCCGGAAACCGGAGAGTGTTTCGTCCAAGATAGATTAGGTGCTCCCGAGGCTAGCCGGTCTAGAGGAGCCGAATTAGTGTCCGCAGCTGGTAGCTGATTTGGTTTCCTTTGCTCTAGCATTACTCCATTTGATGTGACTTGCTCTGCCCTTACAGTGGTTCCCGCATGTTTCTCGTCATTCCTATCCTTGCGGCCATCGACATCGCCTTCCAACTCCTTCTTACGCCCACCATTTCTAAAGCCGATCTTTTGAAATAATCTCTTGACTCCATTCTCTTTTTCTTTCTCAGATTTGTTGTCTGAAGTACATGCCTTCAGAGTTCCCGCCCTCTGCTGCCTCGGAATCATTGCCTTCATCTCTGTCTGCTCCTGTTCATAAGCCCGTCTGCCAGAACTTTACTTTTACGCGATTGCTAAATTGGTTACTGCCGCCACCAACAGGAGATTGGTCTTCGAGTCTCGAAGATGGTTATGCAAGTCATTAAATGGTGACTGCAAGGAGGGCCCTTTAGCCTTTTCAGGACGAGAAAGCTTGATCTTAGAGTTGGGTGGTGGTGTTATTCCTTTGACTTTTCTGATCGCTCGTTCAAGGTACTTCTTAACCCGGTTGAAGATATGCTGGCGGTGGTACAGAGCCGAAGAGATGTCTGAAAACGCGTTGGAGTTGAAAATGGAAGTGTGAGTGTTATCAGACGGGGATCGAGGCGTTGTGAGATCCCGCAGTTGGTTTCCGTATAGCGGTGTGAACACCACTAAACGAGGCTGTGACCTAGAGATGGTTTGGCAGACCCTGCAATGCTTAACGGATCTGTCATGGGGCAGGGCGAGATCAGTCAATCAAGGGCCCCTCCGCAAACAATAGCGAGATTAAATGTTAGAAAAAGACTTTGCAGCCATCAAGAACGCTGAACTGGAAGCTAGAAAGAGCAATGGATAGGTGCATTTGATTGTTACTGTACTGGTACATTCGCTGGCAATTGAACACTACCCCTGCAAGGCGCTAGTACCATGCGACAAGTACGTGTACAAAGCTGACCGGAGAACAGGAAACCGACTGTGCACGCTACTGTACCCACAACTATGTTTTGTTTTATGTCAGCAATGTATCCATATTTTTCATCTTCCTGATGTTTTTCTTAGACATTGCGTCATCATCAATCCGACTAAAATGCGAACTTTCAATGCCGCGTTACCAGATAGAGCGACAGAATGCGAGACATGTCCACTGCCTGTCATTCGCCAAAACAACGTGGGGCCATCCTTCACAACATCTCAATTCCCATGCTATAAAGGTGCATGGAGATCCCAAGGTCTGACTTTCTCTTGCATGTTAGCACTGCAGGGAGTTTAGCATTAAACAAATAAACACCACTCGCACCCCACCAAGCTCCACCCCCGCAACCCTCCATCTGGAGCTTGTTCGAAACAAGCAACGCGGCCCATCCATCCCCTTCCCCACTGCTGACCTGGGGGAACCACTCCATCACCACTCTGTGGCCCGCCTTGAAACCACCCCCGGAATCTTACTTGCTTGCGGGCGCCTGGGCTGACGCAAGGAAAACACACCATGTCATACCACTCTCTCTAAACACACCTCACCTTTATACCCGTGGGACTCCCTCTCCGTCACATCCGCACGCGACACACCCCCTCTACCCACAATGAAGCTCAAAGCCACCCTACGCGCCCGCATGCCAGGGATTCACTGGAGTCCACACGACCTCGCATCTTCAGAACCCTCGTCATCAACTTCAAAACCCAAATCGCGAATGCCTTTTTCACTAAAGTCATCCGCTCCCGATCCCGCAACTACTCCCCGCCCCCGCAAATCCAGACTGGGTTCGACAGCGACCTTCGAACCCAACGTCGAACTCGATGCGCGCACACTGGCACAGGCTCGATCGCTATTCTTCACCTGTCTACCAATTGAACTACGGAGAATGGTGTACGAGTTCGTCATGGGCGAGGAAGTAGTGCACCTGACACTGAGCCAGAAGCGACGATTCGGCCATTGCATCTGCCAATGCGAAATCGACATACCTCGCAGAGACAAGCAGCAATGTACCTGTCGCGTCCTCGTCGGGGGCAAAAAAGGCGCAAGGTTAGATAGCGGCGCTGCAGCCCTGGTTCGAACCTGTAGACGCATGTACGTCCTCCCTTTCTTTCGCAACTCTCCTAGAATACGAATGGGAAAGAGCTGATAAAGTACAGGTACTCAGAGTCAATCCCGCATCTCTACCGCGCGCACACGTTTTCCCTCCTCCACATCACACACCTGCTCTACCTCCCTTCGTCCGTCCCCCAACTCCGACTCAATACGATTCGCACTCTGCATCTCCGCTGGGCCATCCGCGCGCTGCCGTACCTCCGGCGCGGTCCTTCGAGTCGCGTGGCGTATCGCGAGGACACTGCGAATTGGGAGAGGGGGTGGGAGATTATAGCGGGCATGCAGGGGCTGAGGGAACTGTATGTTGTGCTAGTTGATCCCAGTCCGCAGGGGCTGTGGGAGAGGAATTGGTTGCAGCTTGAGGATGTGCTGCTAGAGAGTGTGAGGGGCGTTACGCGGCCCAGGGATGCCGTGTTGGTGATGCCGTATCAGAGTTGTGGGGTGGATTGGGATATGGGGGATGGGTGTGTGAGGTTGGTGAGACCGGAGGATGGGGGTGTGGAGGAGGACGAGTGACATGTACAACATCCCTCTTGAAAAGTGAGTTCACTCCACTGTATATAATACACCCATGATAAACGTATAAATAACTTCATACAATCAACACCTTTATTCAACATTATCTAATCATCCCATCATTCCCCCTTGCTTCTAGATACACCCTCTCACAACCCAAAGCAATTAGCATAATAAGTAACCGTAGCCGGCCAATCCGAAAACATGCCCAAAATACCCACATCCTGGGCCAAAACATCCAGCACAGTATACATATCCCCATCATTGTTCGTAGCATTCAGCACATACTGATAGTAGTAGCCCCCACCATCAATCTGCAGCCAACCGGACCGCTCAAACGACCACGCGATCATATCCAACCCGTGTTCCTGGCAGGCGAGCGCATACTCCGACGGCACAATCTTGCCCTTGTCGTCGAGCTTCGTGAGCGCGAACATGGCGGGCGCCATGATCTTGACACCGCGGGCAGCGAGGTCGGGGATGCTGGCTGTAGCGTTTGCGTAGCCAGCGGGCGTATCGACGCGCTCGTCGAGGTAGACAGCTTGGACGCCGAAGTCTGGTTCGTTGTCGATCCAGTAGAAAATGTCGGCGGGCAAGAAAGACTGAAGCCAGACACGGCTGGGGTCGATGTCGTACTCGCGGAATTTGTCGACGAGGTCCTGGGCGTACTGCTCTTGGGTGTAGCCGTCGAACGGCATTGGTACTTCGGGGGTCTTGAGCTCGGGTGTGAATTTGAGGCCCCAGCTGTCTACGAGGGGGATGTATTCGTCGACGGTCATGAGCTTGGGGCAGTGTTGGGCGTAAAGGTCTGTACGGAAGTATGAGGTTCCGTCCATGTATTGTTTGGCTGTTGTGGCGTTGGGGTTGAAGCCGTCCATCTTTCCGCAGAGAGTGCCAAACTCCTCGAGTGTAATGTCCGAGGTGCAGCACTTGGCCGACGCAGCGGTGCCATTGGCAGCGGGAGAAAAGGGCTTGGTGCACTTTGCGGCGAGCGGAGTGTCGAGGATGTTGGTGGTCGTGTGCAAGTCGCATTGGGCGTGTCGGCAGACGAGCTGCTTGTCCTTGGTGAAGGCAACATCGCATTCAATGATACCAGCACCCATACGATGCGCCGCTTTGTAGCTTGCGAGGGTATGTTCGGGGAATTGAAGGGGTGCTCCACGATGGGCCAGGACAAAGTCTGACGTCTCAAATTCTTGCTCCGAGCAGCTCTCCAGCTTCTCCTTCAATGGACCGTCGTCCATGTCATCCACGAGGTAGTATGGCCGAGGCCCAACCTGGACATTGAACTTTTTTCCTTGTCCATGGTGGTGACCTCCCGTACGAGGCGCAACTGCAGGTACAGCAGCAGCAGACGCGAGTCCAAGAAGGACAGAGGCGGCGATGAGAGAGCGCATCGTGAGCAATTGTCAAGCCAGCGAGGTCTGGGAAGCTGCAAAAACGAACGGTCCCTGCAGAGCAGACATGACTGCGGCTATGCGGCTTCTTATCTACATGGGTCAGAAGAAATTCCTACTCAATGCCTCGGATGGTCCAAAGACGCCGACGAGCTGCACGGCTGGGGGACCTCGACGTCAGCTCCATTGCTTCTGCACGTGGGTGAGCTACCCCAGTCAAAGTTCTTGGTGCTGCGGCGGAGAACAGGACGATGGAGTATATCTACCCAAGTCCGGTTAGCCTGCCGAGCCTGCCAAGCACATGTAGCCGTTCACGTTTCTCAATGCTGCGATAAGATACGTGAACAGGCCCTAGCGAAGTACTCGGAGCAACAATACTGACGGCTGAGAGGTACGCCTCATGCATCATCTCCTCCCCGTCTTGGCCGCATTTTGCTTCTTTCGCCTTGTCGCCCGGTGTGGCGGGAATCCATCGGCCTTTCGGCGGGCCGGCACCATCTTGTGGCTGGCAAAGTGGATACGAATGAAAGGTGGACAACGGTGCCGGTCTTCATGTAGTACGTTACCAACGGTAGTATTCAGCATGATGCCTGTTTAGACGAAAGCCTTAGGATACTGCTTGTCTGCCTAACCTCCTTTCATGAAGTTGTCCATTCTCTTCATATATGGTAAAAGGCCCCAAAGCAAGGAGTCAAACATCCTTCCTTAATCTAAGTTGCAGCCTCCACCTGACCGCCTATTCATTTCCAAAGGCAATACAATGTGAGTATGCATGAATTTAGATACGAGACCGCGGGTTTATGGAGCGCTATCCTCACTCCGTTCTGGCAGCTGGAAGACGCATCTGGATTTTCCAACATCGAGATCCGTAGAACACCTCCAATCTGGAAGAGTGACGACAAAGTCTTTTGGTGCAGTCATTTTCGTGATGGGTTCAAGGAGTGCTTTCCCATTCTGCTCCCAAAAGTCGCCGTAGCATTGCAGCCAGAGATCCAGAAAGAAGAAGAGCCGTATGTGTAGCGTCCGGAGACCATTCATCCTACCCAGCACATCCCACGTCCTATTCCACTCATCCCGATGCGCTTGAGGCATGAGATCGACTTGAAAGAACCCGTGGCGATCGAGGTCCCAATCAATGCGGAGGTTGGTAATTTGATTCATCCGTTGGGGTTGGATGAAATACGGCAAGTAGCCCATAGTAGGGTAGTCTTCCATATCCGTAGAAATGAAGAATTTGTTCGAACTGTACAGATATTCGATAGCTTCTGAGTAACTGCTCATTCATCAGTTAGCTATTATGCTACGCCGCTGACGTAATAACTGTATTCTCGTATCGGGGCTGTCCTCCAGCCTTTTGGTAAGATCGTTGTATAAAGCGTCTACACTCTTTGTAACGAACTGTCACGTGGGTAATACTTACATGCGGCGACATGTCCTCAACAGCGAAAGTGCAGCGTGAAGTCTGTGTTTAACTGAAAGGGACTGAAGGTAGCAGGCACAACCTCGAGTAGCGCACCGCCGGGCGTTCAACTGGCCGTTGACAAGTGAAAGATGTATTGGCACCTCGCCCAGTGCTTTTTCATAGATGATTCGCCTTATCTCCAACGGGAGTTTGGTCATAAAGGCGGATCGATTTTGGGGAAACGTTCTTTGATGTTGCTGTAGGCTTGTCGACGTGATACTGAGAGCGCGTCTGCGGGGGCAAGGTACCATGGGTTTTGGAGCCTGGGCGGATACCCCGAACGTTCGTCTACTCTGGTTCGGCATTACCAGTACAATGCAACAAACACAGGGCGAGCAGACTGTCCAAAAGAGACATTTGCACGTGTACCAAGCTGCTTTCCGTATAAAATGGTCAGTCCTAGTTCCGATTTCCTTGAGGCGGTTGCGAAAACGGATTCCGGGCATGTTTGCGCCACAGGGGCATGAAGCTTTGTTGGTTCAGCCTAGTACCGCGAAGAGTTGCGGTTCGGAGCAAGCCTAGACGATGCGAACACCCTCTTTACGGCTTGAAAATGATTGGAACGTCGTTTTTCAGGGTGTAGGATTGATTCCCTTGGGTGAGATTGGAATCGAGTCTTTGTTTACGTGGAGGGGATGAGGAAAGAGCAGTTAGTGTTGGAAACCATTTTGTGGCGCAATCCCGGCCCCACTTTGTGAGACCAAAATGACGATGGCACCCAAACTTGACGTTACTACCCAATACTCACGTTTAATTCGTTACTTGCGCATTCAGCTCGCATTCAACAACCGAACGTACTTCAGCTTTGATTAGTCGTGACTATATTTACCACTTCGTCCTGCGGATCTTGCAACGGGCTTCGTCTGATACTGGTTGGTGGCGAAGGGGTTGCTCATCCAAAAGAAAACATATGGAAGGTGCCGCCGGCAACAAACAAACAGATGGTACTAGTGGGTGAGTATGGATACGATGCATCTTAATATCTATTTATTTACCTTCCTGGCAGCAAGAAATTCGGTAGCTGCATTGCTACACCATGACTCTACTCTTGTCAGGCGCTACAATTGGCCACAGACATGGCTGCCAGCTTGGCACCGATTGCACATCTTCGGACTATAGAGCAGTCGGTTGCGGATGGGAAGGAAAAGTTAAAAAGATGGGTATCATCCTCACAATTTTCCCGACCAGAGACTGATGGTAAGCCATCTTATTACCTTTATCAAGCACCACTAACACGTACTAGCTGCCTCAGCCCCTCCCGTCCTCAGTGATCAATCACTGGCCTCTAGTACACAAGCCTAACTCAAAAGAGATATAGAAGATTTGGACAAGAAGCGGCTTCAGAGGCACGCAGAATTACGGAAGATGTCGCATACATTGGCTGAAGCCGTGCGCCTTAGTCAAGAGCAGAGTCAATATCGAGTCGAAAGAGAGGTTCTTTTGCAGAAATTGAAAGCGCTGTCTCCGCGATGAAAGAACACATATCGTGTCGTATCAGCGCATGATTGAGTTGCGGGCACAAAGTAGAATTTCAATTCAGCGCAAATAGTTCAACTTCTTCAATCAATTCCATTACAGCGACTGCTTTTCAGCTCTTATTGCCTTCGATTGCGGGCCGCCCCTCAATATGTTAAACATGACATATTATTCTGCCACAATATGTAGAATATGTGGTAGATTGCGCTATGGCTTGACTTGAGTGCAAAGACATAATTCCGTAGCACTGCTCGCACGAAGCGATCGCTCAAGACTCAGGGACCAGTCTGGTATATGGTCTAACAATATATGATATTTGGCCACTCCAGAGAGGAAATCTACAAAGATCATTTAGAAAACAACCGCGAAGAAATACCTAAACTCCTCCCGTCACATTGGTAGATCAGTGATCGAAAAGAGCTGCCAGGAGCAGTCCTTTGATGACAAACTTTTGCAACAATAATGGCCATGAGCTGTTCAGAAATCATCTAGCAGAACAACTAGCGAGGCTTTTACGCCAGTCGCAAAGATGGGTGGCACACCTGAGAAGATAGGCTTGCTATCTTCTCACCTCTCTCGCACCAGCATGGAATCAACGAAGCACATCTGGCGTCAGCTCAAAAAGCACCTACACGATACTTTTCCCCTTCACCTTCACCTTCGCCCTCAACTCCCTCTCGGTACACATCTTCCAATACCACCTCAGTGACGCCCTCGCCTCAGTCGTAATCGCAAACGTAAGCAGCAGCACCGGCACAGCCGTAACCCAAAACACCCACCCCTTACTCTCGCCCGGCAAAAAATCATCCGTCATGGAGAAAATCGCCGCAATAGTCGAAAGCGGCACAAACACCATCGTCACATTCGTAATCTGCGCCAGACTCAACGCATTCCGATTCGCCGCCTGCGCCTCCTGCATCGTCGTGAACTGGAGGTAAGACTGTAAAAACGCTTCGGCCATTGTGATTACTCGGCCGCAATAATCTTGGACGGTAAGCCATCCATCGCGTTCCCACTCCAAAGCGCTAGGTCGATGCAAGCCGAGGACTTCGAATTGCTCTTTTACTTCTGAGTTGACGAGGCCCATAATGTATTTGATGTTTACGACGAAGCCAAAGACTTCGTGGTGCCAGCTACTGATGAGCCCCTCGCCAAATTCACGCAGGTAGTCGCAGCGGTTCGTGTGCAAGACGGCGGTGCGCGGGTTTTGCTGGAGGCGCAGCATGTTGAGGATGCGGCGGCGCAGGAAGCTGAGGAAGTAGCAGATGGCTAGTCTGCGGGCGACGTTTGTGCAGCTCCTGGGCCCAATGGAATGCGCCTGCTCGTCTGGGGTGAGAGATAGTATGTCGTCGAACATACTCTCGTACTTGGGGCGCTGCCAGCTACCAGTCCAGTCGGAGGGATTGGGCGGTAGGATGTCCATGTCGGTGAAGTCCGGGTCGAGACTGTGCATACGGGTGTATGCGTGCTCTTCTGAGCAATGATCCACGGGGAATTTGCAACCATCTGCGAGGGATGTTACGGTCTCGCGGACTGGTGGGTCAACTATCAGCACCGCTACAAGGCCCGTCAGCAATGTCTGAGTGTGTACAGTCTAGCTAGAGAAAGCGGCGCCATACAATCCCACGAGCCATCAGGTCTAACTCCAGAGGTCCAAAAGGATAGGGCGTGGTAGCTTTTGGGCTGATCGAGAATCGGGGCTTTGGGGTCGTAGCAGTATACATGGCGCTGGATGTTGAAGTCGCAGCGGAAAATATTGCCATGCACTTCTCGGTCTGCGTCTATACGTAGAGGCTGGGTAATAGCGTATCTGATGCTGAAGTTCTTTTCCGAGTACCGGCGGAGAGGGTTGGTGTAGTTGAATTCCGGCGTTGCTGGATCGGCCCAGTGGGCAGCGAAGAAGGTGGGGGGAATCCGTAGCTGCGCACCGAGTATCTCGAGATAATTGAACCCCAAATCTTCCAGTATGAAAAGTCTTTTTCGCGGGCCTAGTTCCTCTGCGGCTAATGGGTCGTCAAAGTGGGCTTGGAGGCCTTGCGAGTTCTTGAATATCTCCGGTTCAAAGACTTCATCGTCACGATACTCTATCACTGCTACTCTGCCTCTTTCTCTTTCCAAAGCTGTTTGGGATTTTAGGTTGCGCAGGAAATTTGGAAATAGCCAGTGGAGTTGCAAGTCGATGAGGTCGTGGTATGCTTCGCGTGCATCCTTGTCGCAAAATGTCGTCGATCTCTCGCTCCAGGTACCGGTTGGTGATGGTTTCTCGTCCATTGTCAACTGGCGACGGTTTGCATGACAACTGGCCGGTACCCTTACAACCGTTTAATAACGGTCGCTTCTAAATGTCTGGGCAGGGGAGGATGGCCCAGCCTTGGGGGCGAAATCCTAGGAACCGTGGCTGTGTGTTGGTGGTGTTGTAGTACAGCTGTCTCATTGGCCCTGCTATGACTTTGTCCAGGGGAGTATGCAGACTGACTGCAGCATATCACGGGAAATACACTACCGACGCTTGACTAGGCTTGAAACGAGGTGAGGGGTTTCTGTCCCTCCTGCTCCCATCGCCACTTCAAGTACGGCTTGAGTTCCTTGTCTGTTGGCACTACCCTTTTCCATTCTGGTTCAATCCCAACCACGCCTTCCGTACCGCGTAGTCTATCCCGATAAAAGATACGGTAGCTATCAAGTGCATATGCACCCATGCCTGGCAGATGAGCAATTTCCCAGCCCTCCCGTTCGTCGTCGGGTCCTAATACCTCTCCGGGCCTGACATTTGTCCCACATCCACGGTCTGGGTAGTGCAACCTCCGGTATCTTCGCTGTCTGCATGGAGGCGCAGCAAGCCAGGCGTCTGCTAGGGCTATAAGCCGCATGGCCCGGATTCTATGCAGGCCTATGGGTTGTAGCATGTTGATTAGGTCATGGAGCGGCGCTGCAGATAGTTCCTTTGGAGATGGATAGGCCGAGAGCAGCTCGAACAACACCGGTCGGGCCATTTGACCACGGGTTTGGTTCCATAGAATGGCCTGGACTACCAAAGCATATAGACTATCACAGATTCGTTCTTGGATTAGACCGTACTTGGCAGGTTGGAGGGTCAAGCTGAGTCCTGAGGGCTGAGGTATTACACGAGGGTGGTCTTGTTTTTCGACTCTGGTCTTGGTTGGAGAAGAATGTTTCTTCTTTGGAGGAAGCGGGGCATGTTGCGAGGCGCCCTGCCCGTGTGTTTGATTAGAGGATCTAATTCGACGACTTCTTGTTACTACTGGCATAGCTGAATAGCCAAAGATAGCCAAAACACTTGATTACATGCAGGAAGACAGGATCATGGCTAGCTGAATCTTGTCACCTGGAAACAACAACTCCACTCCCGCGGCGCTAACAGTTAGGATCCCTACGTCATCGAAACACCTCTGGTGTCCTGACGATCGAAACACACCGACCAGCTGAACGTTGTTCAGACGAGATGGTGAGACCCAAAGAAAAGCTATAGCACCAATTCGTAACACGTCATGCAACGTATTCCACACTAGAGTTTCTTCATAAGCACCCCAGAGACCAGGAATTGGGCCTCGGTGCTATTCCCCAGGTTAGCACCGCCGCGATGAAGCTCCATCCCAGTACACCTCCACCATCTCACCTTCACGTCGCACCTCACCGTCAAAAAAATCCTCGAGTCCGTTCATATCGTGACATGACCTAGTAAAACCAGCCCACCATGCTCCCCAAAACTCGCTTGACCGCAAAGAAATAAGGCCAGCCCTACTATGCCATCCCAGCCATCTGCCCCACCTCACCGTTTAGCTCCACCCGCAAAAAGCATAGAGCCCGCCTTGCCCACATAATCCGTCATCGGAACCTCTCGGATCATCATCATCATCATCATTGCTATCGTGCAAAAAAAAGAGAAGCTACGCGCTCAAATGTGACATTGTTTACCAATTGCATCCGTAGCCCAAACAAAAAAAGAGTTGGACCAACGGGGAAAGAAATAGAAGATGTCTTTCTCGGATGATGGAGACATGGAGGACTGGGCGGAACAATCGTCTACGCAAAAGCGCTACGAAGGCGAAGACACCAGTCCAACCACACCCCGTGAATTAAAGGGCTGGTACGCGTATCCTATCGCTGCTGAAGTAAATTGATTTTTTCCAAACACCTTCTGGGATGAACATGGAAAAAACTAACTTGGATTTGTAGGTTTTCGCCGTGGTAGCTGTCGGTACGTCCCCTCATATCCCACCATCCAGCCATACAAGTTTCCACCTTCTCAATCCCAACCGCAACCTAAAAAGAAACAATGGACTTATAAGAGTACACAGGCGCCTTCCTCCCTGTCCTCCTCGAGCAACTCGCCCGCGAAAACGGCGTCTTCTTCTCCGACCCCTCGCAGCCATGCGTCACTCATCCCACCTCTTCCCGCCGCGCCAGCGACAAAGAAGCAGCACCCGCTTCCTCCGAGCAATGCATGGTAACCTACCTCGGCCTCCAAATGTCCACCAGCAGTCTCGCACTGTACACATCATCAGCAGCAGTACTACTACAAGCCCTTGTATTAGTGTGTTTGAGTAGTTTTGCAGATTACGGTATGTTTCTCTCCCCTGTCCATTAAATTTACCACAAGCTTTGAATTGAGCTATTAGGGGCATAGAAAGAGCTAAAGGGCATTACAGGTCCATACCGCAAAAAAATGCTCATGATAACGTCGTACACGGGCTCAATAGCGAGTTGCCTCTTCATCTTCATCTCCCCCTCACTATACCAACTCGCCCCTCTCCTCGTCATAATCGGCGTAGCCTGCTTGGGATGCTCGTTCGTGCTACTCAACGCTTTTTTACCGTTGCTCGTAGCAAACTACCCGGATAATAGCAGTGATGCGGGTGGCAAGCCGTTGTCAGAAGATGACGATTCAGCCGTTGAACTGGATAGTTTGAATGCGGATACAGAGGCCGCGGCGTCACGGAGGGAAGATGCAGAGAAGCTGGCACGCGATCTGGAGCGGTCTGCGCAGATAAGTTCGAAAGGAGTGGGATATGGATATATGGCTGCGGTATTCGTTGAGATACTAGCGATCCTCATCGTCTTCATCTTCAGCAAAACGTCGTTGTCGAAGACGTCGCCCACACTCTCGATCCGCGTCGTACTCTTCATGGTCGGCCTCTGGTGGGCCGTCTTCTCCATTCCGACGTTACTCTGGCTCCGCGAACGCCCTGGGCCCCCTTTACCCGTACAGCAGCACTCCAACCTCTCCTCCACCCCCGGCAAATCCAAACTCCGCACGTTTCTCTTCTACACATCCTTTTCCTTGAGGAGTTTCTGGGTCACCTTGAAAAAAGCTTGTCGACTCCGTCAAACACTCATCTTCCTCATATCTTGGTTCCTGCTCTCAGACGCCGTAGCCACAATCTCAGGCACCGCCGTGCTCTTTGCAAAGACCGAACTGCACATGAGTACCATTGCGATTGCGCTCCTCTCCATCACCTCCATCGGCTCCGGCATCATCGGCGCCTTCGCCTGGCCACGCATTCAGCGCCACTGGGCCCTGCAACCGAAAACCGTGTTGTTGTGCTGCGTAGCGGGTATGGAAATCATTCCTCTGTACGGCCTCCTCGGCTACATCCCGTTGTTCCAGCGGCTGGGCTTCATAGGCTTGCAGCAGGCATGGGAGATTTATCCCATAGCCGTCTTACACGGCATCGTCATGGGCGGCATCTCATCCTACGCGCGGTCCGTATTTGCGCCGCTGATCCCTGAGGGTAGCGAAGCGGCGTTTTTCGCCCTCTACGCTGTCACGGATAAGGGGAGTAGTGCTGTGGGACCGACGCTCGTAGGCCGTATTACGGATAGTGCGGGGACGATCCGACCCGCATTCATCTTTTTGGCTGTCCTGGTTATGCTGCCTGCGCCGTTGCTGTGGCGGCTCGATGTTGAAAAGGGGAGGGAGGATGCGAGGGCTATGGCAGAGGGAGATGCCAGGGGACGCGGAAGGTACGAAAGAGTCCGGAATGAGTGATTTGAGCCGAAAAGGTTCCAAGGGGCCTTTGGCGAAAGGGAGGGGGTATATGGTATGAATTTTGTAACGCCTCAAATGGCTTTTTTGCCTCCCTAGATAGTTTGGCTCGGGCCCTCTGAAGCAAAAGGGCACGGGCAAACGATAAAAGTGACCATTTTTATGCTTGGTCCCGAATCTTCGGGCGCTTACTATCCCTGTCGTTGCTCTCTCCGAATCGCTTTCGTTCTCCGAGAGGCTTTGCGTTTGCGCCCGTGGCACCGTCTCTGTCCCTGTCTCTTGCGCCATGTCCATCTGGTCTGAACCGCTCATCCACGCCGTACTCGCCCTTGTCCCTTCGCGGGCGGTCATCCTTAAAGTCGCCCCATTTGCCCGTGTCCTCCGTCTTCATGTCTCTGTACCGTGTGCGTCCCTTTTTACCGAGCTTCGTCATGTCCCGAATTTGCATGTATTCCGGCAGAATCTCGCGGTTTGTGTCGTCTTCGAAGCGGGCGTTCATGAGATTGCGTCGGTCGACGCCGAGTTCCTTGAGTTCATCGGTGAAGAAGGCACCCTTGTGGAAGTACTTTTGCATGTACTGCATTTGGCCGCGGTCGCCTTTTTCTTCTTTCTGCTTCTCGATGAATTCGCGGTCTTCGGCCTCGCGCTCGGCGGCTGAGAGGTTGCGTCGACGCTCAATCTCGGCACGCTCAGCTTCAGCCTCTTCGATAGCGAGACGTTCACGCTTGATGCGCTTGAGTTCGCGGAGTTTCCAGGCTGCGTATTCAGCGTCGGGATCGACCCCGTCGGTGTCGTCGATGGCGTTGATGTCGGCGTCTTCGATGTCGTCATCCCAGTCCTTTTTGCCTGCTGCCTTTTCGGCTATTCGCTGTTCGACCTGTTCCTGCACGAGTGCTCTTGCCTGTTCCTGTCGCCGCGCTTCTTCCTCTGCTGCCAACTCGTCTGCTGATTTAACGGGTGCCGCAATCTTGTTTCGCTCGCTCTTCTTCAGAAAGACTGGTCGTAGTAGTTTCTTTGGTGCCTCGTCTTCGCTGCTCGATTCCTCCTCTGACGACTCATCCTCATCGCTGCCGCTTCCACTATCACTCCCACTCCCACTGCCGTCTTTTTCTTCTTCCTCCTCGCTCTCAGTCTCGAACTCGTCTTCTAGCGCTTTACGCGCATCCTCGCTTTTTTGCCGCGATGCAAGTCTCGATTTGATTGCCGATGATGCAATAGGTGCTGGTTTTGGTTTCGCAAAAGGTTTTAACTGGGGCTTCTGCTC